CTCGCGGGCTCTGGAGAGCAGGCTCAGTAGTTGTGGCACACGGTCTTAGTTGCTCCGCAGCATGTGGGATCTTCCCTGACCAGGGCTCGAACCCATGTCCCCTGCATTGGCAGGCGGATTCTTAACCACTGTGCCACCAGGGAAGTCCCCATATCATCTTTTCATTCCCTCTTTTCACCACCTACACCATGACAGTCATCCTGCCACAGATCCCTCCCTGCCCTTATCCATGTCCTCATAGCTGTCACACCAACCTATAAAACACTATTTACATCTTAATCTTCTATTCCTCCTCAACATAGAATTCCTCACCTTCTTGCTTAGCTGCCACTGTCCCAATTCCTCAACCTGGCGATGATACCTCTCACAGTCTAGCACCAAATTATCTTTCTAATCTCATCACCATGACTCTTCTATACCTCCTTTCCATTCCAGCCCAAATAATTTAATCACTGTTCTCTGAAAACGCCTTTTACCTGTTGACTCCTGGATCTTTGTTCAAACTGCTAACTCAGCTTAAATTCTGATTCCATTTTTCTAAACTTGTCCAAGAACCCTAGTTCAAAACCAAGTCAAGCCTTGTCTCCTCCAAGAAGAATTTTCTGACCATCTCCACTGTCGGTGGTACTGTCCCTTCCAGAACCTAAGGACACTGATTATTGAGAGACTAGATTGGTCTTTCTATATTATCTCGTTAGATACTTGTTTGGCCTCTTTTGAGTTTCCCATGTATAGCGACTACATTCCTCTGTTTACCTTCAGTGCCTGGCACAGGGCCTGGGCATCACAGATGTTCAGTAGCTTTTATGAAATGATTATGCTTGGGGATAGAATGTCGATGGTGTGGAGACAAAGGAGATAAAGTTTGGGGGATAAAGAAGAGAGATATTATGGGAAGAGTTGAGGAATAAAATTGTGGCAGAGGACAAAGAGAAAAGGTCGAAGGAGGGGCAGAAATGGGTGTTTGGGAATGAAGGATATAAACATGAGATTGAGTGAAGATCATGCTCCCACCTGTCTTTGGTAGGGCCCAGGAATAGAGGCCCTATCAAGATGGGGTCATGAGGCGGTTGTGTGACGGGCCTCGGGCTAGGGAGAATTAGGTGGAGTTGGCCCTCTCAGCTCTACTGTGGCAGGCAGCCAATGAATTATTTAATTTAACTCTTACAGAGACTCAAAGAAGCACCTTCTAGAAGGCCTGGTTGCTTGTTTCACAGAAAAGGAAGGGTAAAGATAGGAAAGTATTTTGTTTACTGGATTCATTCACAAAATGTTTGTTGAGCACCTATTATATACCAGGCACCAAGAATACAGAGATTTTTGTCCTCAAGGAGTTCCTAGTCTGGTGGGGGAAACAAAATTATTTTAAAAAATGCAACCGTATGTTACTATAAGAATGAATTCTATATAGGGTGTGGAGCACAAAGCAAGGATGGGTCAGTTTACCTTGGGGAGACAGAAAAGACTTCTCAGGGGAACAACTTGAACTGAGCCTTGAAATCTGAGTAGGCATCTGCCAGGTTGGTGGGAACAGAGGAGAGTTGGGGAGAGGGGAGGCACTCTGGGCAAACAGGCAGCAAGAGTTCCAGGGAGCTGGTGAAATTTCAGGGAAATTCATGAGGTTGGGATCAGGAAGAGATAAGTGATGTGGTTGGAAAGGAAACAGGAGACTCATGAGAAGAGTTCTTTGGGGTGCTGGTGAGAGATGATAAGGGCCAGCAACAAGGTGGGGCTAGCAGGAATAGAGGTAGGGGAGGGTGAAAGAGATGCTAAGGAAGTGGAATTGTCAAGACTTATTCCACTGGTGATGGTAGGGAGAGAATGGAGAGAAGGATGTGAGAGAGAGTGTGGAAAAGGGGGAGAGAAGGCAAGAGAGGCTGATCCAGTAAGACTTCCTGGTTCCTGGCTGAGGCAAGTAGGTGTATGATGGTATCATTTACTGAGATGTGGGACACATAAGGAGTGGAAGGATTGGGAAATGCAGTAAACTTGGCTTTTGGCAAATCAAGTTTGAAGCACCTCTTGGAGTTGTAGAAGAGTACCTCATGGCCCACTTCACTGTCCACTGCTTTGCATATGTAAAGCTTTGATGTCTGAGAAAGGTCAAAAGAATCCTTGGTAGAGTGACCATAAGCAAGTGCAATCCAATTCAAAATAAGTTCTTGAACATTTACTATGTGCCACACTGCAACACACACTAATCTCCAAGGGGACTCTATCTGCCTTGTTCACATTTGCATCCCAGTGCCTGGTACAGTGACTGATACACAGTGGACATTTAATTAATATTTGTTGAATGAATAACTGAATGTATGTATGAACGGACATGTTTGGCAATGAGAATACAGCAATGAATAGCTCCTGAATCCCTCCCTTCGGAACTTACTGTCTAGTTGGGGAGACAAATGCATGCACAAACAGTGTCAAACAGCATATTAACGCTTGAATAGAAGTTGGATGTAAGGGCAATAAGGACTTGGGGGAGAGGGAGTGACTTACTCAGTTCTTGTGCTGGGTTTTACAGTTTTCTAGGCAGAGAAGAGGAAAAGACATTCCAGAAGGAAGGAACAGACCAAATAAAGGCCTAGAAGGGTGAAAGTGTCTGACATGGTTCTCAGACTAACAGTTTAGTGCAGCTGTACTCCACATGGCAATCATCATGCCTGCCATCCCCTTATAAGGAAATATTCCACATCCACATCCCTTGCTGAGGGAAAGCTCTGAGTGTTTTTGCTTTACACAAAATGAAACTGCTGTTCAGCCACAGGTGGCCACTCACCCCAAAAGAGACAAATCATACGCTGTCTAGCAGCCTAAGAGGTATACTTGAGTGGAGCCACTGTCAAAACCAGAAGGAGTAGGGCCATTCTGCTCACTGTGATGTGAGTATGTCTCTGTGTGTGGTGGTGGTGATGGTGGTGGTATGGGAAACCAGAGAGAATCGGGCAGTTAGCCATAGTATCAAAGATGGAGAGAAGCCAGAGAGGCCAAGCTGGCCATAGGAAACAGAAGTTACAAAAAAGGTAGACGCCACATGGCAGAAAAAAGACATGCTGAGCAGAGGGAGAAGCAGCAGTTGTTTTCAGAGTGAGAAGCAGATGGAATCAGAGGTCATCCAGTTAGATCACCATCTTCATATATTAAAACCCATTAGTAATGTTAGAATACTTGCTGTCCACCATCAAACATATTTAATAATTCATTAGGAGAGGATATTTGAAATTTCTGTTGTTCTTCCTTTATTCCCAGTGGCCCAAGTTTCCTGCTCATATCATTTCTGTTTGAATAGCTTCTTTTAGCAATTCTTTTGGAGCAGGTCTGCTGGCAATGGATTCTCTTAGTTTTTCTTCATCTGAGAATGTCTTTATTTCATCATCATTTCTCCAGGATATTTTTGCTGGATATAGAATTCTGAGTTAACAGGTTTTTTTTCCTCTCAGCACTTAAAAAATATTATTCTACTTTATTCTGGCCTCCATTGTTTCTAATGAGAACTCCACACTCATTTGGATCATTGTTTCTCTATAGAAGTGTGTTTCTTTTCTCTGTCTGCTTTCAAGATTTTTTCTTTGTTTTTGGTTTTCAGTGGTTTGCTTGTGATATGCCTGGGTGATGATTTTTTGTTTGGTTGGTTTTTTATCCTGTTGGTAATTTGGTGAGCTTTTGGAATCTATAGGTCTATGTCTTTTATAAAATTTGAGAAGCTTTGTTAAGCCATTATTTCTTTTTAAGAAGTTTTTTCCTACACCACACTCTCTTTCCTGTGCTTCTTTGACTCTGATGACATGAATGTTAGACCTTTTGGTTTTGTCCTACATGTCCTTGAGGCACTGTTTACTTTTTTCAATCTCTTTTCCTCTATGTTATTCAAATTGCATAGTTTCTATAAATATATGTATACTTTTTATTTTATTTGTTTATTTTTGGCTACATCAGGTCTTAGTTGCAGTGTGTGGGCTTCTCTCTAGTTGTGGCGTGCAGGTTCTCTAGTTGTGGCATGCAGGCTCAGTAGTTGTGTGAGCATGTGGGCTCAGTAGTTGTGGCACTCAGTCTCTTTAGTTGTGGCACACAGGCTCAGCCTAGTTGCCCTGCAGCATGTGGGATCTTAGTTCCCCGATCAGGGATCAAACCCACGTTCCCTGCATTGGAAGGCAGATTCTCAACCACTGGACCACCAGGGAAGTCCCTATTATCTGTATTCAAGTTCACTGAATCTTTCTTTCATCAGTTCCTTTCTGTCATTGAGTTCATTTGATGAATTTTTAAAAAAATTTTACTTATTGTAATTTTCAGTTCTAGAATATTCATTTGGTTCTTCTTTATATTTTCTATTTATTTTCCTGAGATTTTCCATCTCTTCATTCATTTCAACAGTGTTCGCCCTTACTTGTTGGAGTATTTTATAATCATTCCTTCAAAGTCTTTATCAAATAATCCCAACATCTGTCCCAATATCTTCACATTGATATCTATTGTCTCTTCTCATGTGAGTTGAGATATTCCTGGTACGAGTAATTTTGGAGTGTAATCTGGATATTTTGAATATTATGTTATGAGACTCAATCTTGTTTAAGTCCCATAGAGCATGCTGGTATTTTTGTTTTCTCAGGCAATTGAGCTGGCTGCATTCAGGTCACAAATTCCAATCAGTGTTCTGTGGTTGTGGTTTCAATGCCAGTTCTATTTTCCAGGCCTTTGCAATGCTATTTGGATCTGTCCCACGTTTGTGCCACCCAGTGGCCAGTGGTAGCCTGTCATTTAATTCAGTGTTCAAAGTCTGTTGACTTTGTTCAGTTCTCCTGTCTGTGATCTGATCCTTACTTGTGCAGTTCAGGAGTGAGCCCAGGAGTTCATATACAACATTTTGGGGTTTCTTTCCTAAGATCTTCCCTCTCTGTGGTAACCCCAGTGCTTTCAAGTTCCCTGGGATTTCCCTTTTCGGTCCTCCAGCCAGAAAATTAGGGCTTAATTTACCCCACTTTGCTGTACATTTATTACAGTTGTGCCCTCGTCTGGGTTCAAGCAGCAAGAGGACAGAGAGGAAAAAAAGTCCGTGGGTTTTTTCCCATCCTCTTGGGACCACACCCCTTCTAATTGGAGAGGAAAGTTCCACTTCTTCAGAGTTGTGAGTACCTATAGGTCCTTGCTGCTACCGTTGTCATTCCCAGGTGATCCCTTTCCCACGAACTAAGCCGGACCTGAGAGCTTCCCCTGAAGCTCTCTCTGTCCATGCTGATTTACACTTCCAGTTTTTAGGCTGCCTTGAAGTCAGTTTAGGGGCTACTGGAAGGGAAAAAAAAATAGTAAATTCACTGCCAGTTTGCACTCTGGTCTTACTCCTCAATCCACATGCTAGTACCACTTTTCAGAGTCTCTTTATTTCCTTCCATTATTTGTTCTTTTGTATATTTGCACTTTCTCACTTCCTCATTTTTGATTGGGCTAATGAGTTATTTACCTTTAAAAAAGTATTTTAGATTTATATAGTAGTTCTGTTTTTCTTGTTTTCTAATTTATTATAATTTGGTTTTCTTCGTTTGTTCCTTTCTGCAGCTTTCCTTTGGTTTATTTTGTTATTATTTTCTATCTTTTAAAAAAGATGCTTATTTCTCCATTTTGTTTTGAAATATGTATTTAAGGTGATTAAGTATTCCTCTGAGTACTACTTGAGCCACATTTCATAGATTCTGGTATATATTCTTTACATTATTATTTTTATTATTTCCATTAATTCTTTTGTTTTGGGTTATGTTTCCATTTTGACCCAATTATATGAAAGAGAGCTTTATTTTTAACTTCCAGAACAGAGAGGACTCTTTGATTTTCTTATTAAATTCATTTGTTGCAATATGATTATAGGATATTTTCTGCATTATTTCTGTTTTGGGGGTGTTTGAAATATTTCTTAAAGACTTAAATATGATTAATTTTAATAAATATTATTGGACAATTGAAAGGATGAAGTATCCTCTACTTTCAGGATGCAGAGTTTGATATATATCAGTAAGGTCTGCTTTGTTAATTATATTGTTTAGGTCAACTCTATTTTTAGGGTTTTTATTTTAACTGTGTTTTTTTTTATGGCCTCACTGCACAGCTTGCAGGATCTTAGTTACCCAACCAGGGGTTGAACCTGGGCCCCAGCAGTGAAAGCGCCGAGTCCTAACCACTGGACCGCCAGGGAACTTCCCTATTTTTAGTTTTTAAAAAAATTATTATTTGTTTTTGATTGGATGAAACAAGTAAATTAAAGCCTCTTTTTTATTAGCACATTTCTGTTTCCTTCTTCTTGCTTATTTTGTAATTTCTGCTTTGTGAAGGTTACTTTTATGTTGTTTGGTACATTGATAATCATAATCGTTACATTTTCATTGCCAATTGTACCTTTTTTTTTAATAGATCTTTATTGGAGTATAATTGCTTCACATTACTGTGTTAGTTTCTGTTGTATAACAAAGTGACTCAGCCATATGCATACATATATCCGCATATCCCCTCCTTCTTGAGCCTCCCTCCCACCCTCCCTATCCCACCCCTCTAGGTCGTCACAAAGCACCGAGCTGATCTTCCTGTGCTATGCGGCTGCCTCCCACTAGCTAACTATTTTATTTGGTAGTGTATATATGTCCATGCCACTCTCACTTTGCCCCAGCTTTCCCCTCCCTGCCGTGTCCTCAAGTCCATTCTCCATGTCTGCGTCTTTATTCCTGCCCTGACACTAGGTTCATCAGTACCATTTTTATTCCATATATATGCATTAGCATATGGTATTTGTTTTTCTCTTTCTGACTTACTTCACTCTGTATGACAGTCTCTAGGTCCATCCACGTCTCTACAAATGACCCAATTTCATTCCTTTTTACGGCTGAGTAATATTCCATTGTATATATGGCCACATCTTCTTTATCCATTCGTCTGTCGATGGACATTTAGGTTGCTTCCATGACCTGGCTATTGTAAATAGTGCTGCAGTGAACATTGGGGTGCATGTGTCTTTTTGAATTATGGTTTTCTCTGGGTATATGCCCAGTAGTGGGATTGCTGGGTCATATGGTAATTCGATTTTTTTTTTTTTAAGATCTTTTTAAAAATTTAATTTAATTTTACTTTTTTTTGTTGTGTTGGGTTTTTGTTTCTGTGCGAGGGCTTTCTCTAGTTGCGGTGAGCGGGGGCCACTCTTCATCGCGGTGCGCGGGCCTCTCACTATCGCGGCCACTCTTGTTGCGGAGCACAGGCCCCAGACGCGCAGGCTCAGTAGTTGTGGCTCACGGGCCTAGTTGCTCCGCAGCATGTGGGATCCTCCCAGACCAGGGCTCGAACCCGTGTCTCCTGCATTAGCAGGCAGATTCTCAACCACTGCGCCACCAGGGAAGCCCTGGTAATTCGATTTTTAGTTGTTTTTTTTTTTGCGGTACACGGTCCTCTCACTGTAGTGGCCTCTCCCGTTGCGGAGCACAGGCTCCAGACGCGCAGGCTCAGCAGCCATGGCTCACGGGCCCAGCCGCTCCGCAGCATGTGGGATCTTCCCGGACCGGGGCACGAACCCATGTCCCCTGCATCGGCAGGCGGACTCTCAACCACTGCGCCACCAGGGAAGCCCCGATTTTTAGTTTTTTAAGGAACTTCCATACTGTTCTGCATAGTGGCTGTATCAATTTACATTCCCACCAACACTGCAAGAGGGTTTCCTTTTCTCTACACGCTCTCCAGCATTTGTTGTTTGTAGATTTTCTGATGATGCCCATTCTGACAATGTGCGGTGATACCTCATTGTAGTTTTGATTTGCATTTCTCTAATAATTAGTGATGTTGAGCGCTTTTCATGTGCTTCTTGGCCATCTGTATGTCTTCTTTGGAGAAATGTCTATTTAGGTCTTCTGCCCAGTTTTTGATTGGGTTGTTTGTTTTTTTAATATTGAGCTGCATGAGCTGTTTATATATTTTGGAGATTAATCCTTTGTCCGTTGATTCGTTTGCAAATATTTTCTCCCGTTCTGAGGGTTGTCTTTTTGTCTTGTTTGTAGTTTCCTTTGCTTTGCAAAAGCTTTTAAGTTTCATTAGGTCCCATTTGTTTATTTTTGTTTTTATTTCCATTACTCTAGGAGGTGGATTAAAAAAGATCTTTCTGGGGCTTCCCTGGTGACGCAGTGGTTGAGAGTCCACCTGCCGATGCAGGGGACATGGGTTCGTGCCCCGGTCTTGGGGGGGTCCCGCATGCCACGGAGCGGCTGGGCCCTTGGGCAATGGCCGCTGAGCCTGTGCGTCCAGAGCCTGTGCTCTGCAGCGGGAGAGGCCACAACGGTGAGAGGCCCACATACCGCAAAAAAAAAAAAATCTTGCTGTGATTTATGTCTAAGAGTGTTCTTCCTATGTTTTCCTCTAAGAGTTTTATAGTGTCCAGTCTTACATTTAGGTCTTTAACCCATTTTGAGTTTATTTTTGTGTATGGTGTTATGGAGTGTTCTAATTTCATTCTTTTACATGTAGCTGTCCAGTTTTCCCAGCACCACTTATTGAAGAGACTGTCTTTTCTCCATTGTATATCCTTGCCTCCTTTGTCATAGATTAGTTGACCATAGGTGCATGGGTTTATCTCTGGGCTTTCTATCCTGTTCCATTGATCTATATTTCTGTTTTTGTGCCAGTACCATATTGTTTTGATTACTGTAGCTTTGTAGTATAGTCTGAAGTCAGGGAGTCTGATTCCTCCAGCTCCACTTTTTTCCCTCAAGACTGCTTTGACTATTCGGGGTCTTTTGTGTCTCCATACAGATTTTAAGATTTTTTGTTTAGAACTGCTTTTGCTGCTTCCCATAGGTTTTGGGTCATTGTGTTTTCATTGTCATTTGTTTCTATGTATATTTTGATTTCTTCTTTGATTTCTTCAGTGATCTCTTGGTTATTTAGTAACACACTGTTTAGCCTCCATGTATTTGTGTTTGTTATAGTTTTTTTCCTGTAATTGATTTTCGCCAGTTGTACCCTTTAGCTTTATAAAGTAACCTTGCTGTCTTGGCTCGAATTCCACCTTGTCGATTATTAAAATCATGACTTCTGCTTTAAAAAACTTGTTGTATACCCTTGCCAATGTTTTCATCTTTAAAATAAACTTTATTTTTAAGATTGGTTCTAGATTTACAGAAAAATTGCACTGAGATTTACAGAAAAATTGTACAAAATTGAAGGTTGTACTGAGAGTTTTCATATACTCCACACCTAGTTTCCTCTCTTGTTAACATCTTACGTTAGTATAAGGCTGTAAACGTGAAGAGAGTGAGAGGAAGCAAATAACACAGATTGATAATGTAGGAAGTGGAGAAACAAGAATACACATAAAACATTTAAAAAATAAACCAGTAAAATAAGCAAATCTCAAGCGAGCTTAATTTTTTCACAAAGTGAGAAAGTAGGAATAAACCATGAGAAGGAATGAAAGAAACACTACTTATACAGTATAGGCTTAAAAAAAAAAAAAAAGTAGTAACTCTGCAGCAGGGGTAGACAGGAGGGAGTGCTCTAGGAGTCCCTGGTAATTTACAAAGCCTGTTGTTTGAACCTCATCATTACCTGACACATTTAGGGGTTTTTTTGTTTGTTTCTTTTGTTTGTTTGTTTTGGTTTGGTTTTCTTGGCCATGCCGTGGCTTGCGGGACCTTAGTTCCCTGACCAGGGATCAAACCCAGGCCCCTGCAGTGAAAATGCCAAATCCTAAACGCTGGACCACCAGGGAATTCTCCATGCCGTAACATTTTATTCAGTTAAAAGTGTCAACGGTCCTCTTTTTAAGTACTTATTGTTGCTTTGATTTCAGCTAGTCCACAAAGTAGAAAATATAACCCACCTGGTCTGAAGATGAGACACTAAAACCACACATTTTAATTCCTCAGTTTATTCCTCATGGTTTAAATAGAGAGCCCTCTAGGGGGCAGCAGTGGAATGACAGGAGCTGCTGTTTGGATACTGTGGAGAAGAGGGAGAGACAAAATGGTGACCTCTAGACCAGAGCTTCTAGGTAAAAGAGAAGACTTGGCATTAGAACTCTTGATCCTTTCTCTTACTGTTTACAGATGGCCACCATGTCACACACTGCAGTGGAAACCATTCACAGAGGAGCCAATGTGAGTGCCCACCTGGAGTTGTGCAGCAGTGCAGCCCTACAAGAGTACAGATGGAGTGAGGGGTAAGAAGTGATCAAAGTCAGATCAAAGGAATGTGACCAAGATTCCCAAAGGTGTTTTTTCTTTTTTGCGGTACGCGGGCCTCTCACCGCTGTGGCCCCTCCCTTCGCGGAGCACAGGCTCCGGACGCGCAGGCCCAGCGGCCATGGCCCACGGGCCCAGCCGCTCCGTGGCCTGTGGGATCCTCCCGGACCGGGGCACGAACCCGTGTCCCCTGCATCGGCAGGCGGACCCTCAAACACTGCGCCACCAGGGAAGCCCCCCAAAGGTATTTTGAGCCTGGTGTAAAAAGAACGGAGAGAGAGGATTGATGGGAAAATTAGGGGAGTGTAGTCCAAATGGGAATCACCATTAACAAAGATTTAGAGGCAATAGTAAGCCTCTTACATGCAGTGATTCCTGGGCAGATTGTCCAAGTAAAAGAAGACTCGTTGCACCAGACTCTCCTGGTAGATTAGGGTGGAATTTTTTTTATTGAAGTATAGTTGATTTATAATGTTGTGTTAATTTCCACTGTACAGCAAAGTGCTTCAGTTATACATATATATATTCTTTTTTTTAATATATTCTTTTTCATTATGGTTTATAATAGGATACTGAATATAGTTCTCTGTGGTGTACAGTGGGACCTTGTTGCTTATTATGGTGGAATGATTTGAAGACTGGAGTGAGTCCTTGGCCCACCCACATTCAGTCTTTTTTTTTTAAATTTTATTATTTATTTATTATTTTTGGCTGCATTGGGTCTTCGTTGCTGTGTGCGGGCTTTCTCTAGTTGTGGTGAGCAGGGGCTACTCTTCGTTGTGGTGTGTGGGCTTCTCATCGCGGGGGCTTCTCTTATTGCTGAGCACGGGTTCTAGAGCACAGGCTCAGTAGTTGTGGCTCGCGGGCTCTAGAACACAGGCTCAGTAGTTGTGGTGCACGGGCTTAGTTCCTCCAACATGTGGGATCTCCCCGAACCAGGGCTGGAATCCGTGTCACCTGCATTGGCAGGCAGATTCTTAACCACTGTGCCACCAGGGAAGTCCCCCACATTCAGTCTTAATAGTTTAATTTGGATGTCAGTGACCCCTTTTTCAATTGTCTGCTTAATTGCTTCCCATAAGTGTCCCACTGTTACTCTAACTTAAACAATTTTTCTTCTCTCTAGCCCAATCATGCTCAGACTCAGTCTTTTAATCTCCCTCATTCACCCCTCTTCTGAAACTCAGTCAGTCTTCAGGTTGTTTCAGTCTGTACCTCACAAAGTTTCTCCAGAAAAACTTTGAAGTGGCCAATGCAAAAATTCTGAGAGTTTATGATTTCTTGAGACTGTCTTTTATTACCCATCTGAGAAGGCAAGTTCTAAGCTAAAACTCCACCTCTTGCTTGGTGAGGTAGTGAGTGGGTTGCTGAAAGGTTGGCGGCAGGAGGTGATTTTTAATGGATCATACATGTCTGTTTCTGCCTTATTACCTGTATTATGATACAGTTATAACTGTATTATATAATTATGTATTATGTCAACCTTATTTAAATTTCCTCAAATATTTGTGGAAAGCTGTGGGGCATAGATAAACTGAATGTGTAAGATGTTTCAAGGATTCAGACTCTCTGTATCTGTCATGTCCTTACCATCCCACAGCCCTTACCCCAGGCCAGGGCAGGCTCCTCACATTGAGATGACACCAATAATTTCCAGATTGGGCCCTTGGTCTCTACATTTTAAGAGTTATCTTTTTATACACTGTTTTGCTCACATGCTCTTAATCCTAGCTTTGATTCTTCCTCTCAACTGGCCCCTGATCTTGTTAGATTTGGTTATATGTTTTGCTTTTTTTTTTTTTTTAACCCTTTTAAGCACATGGGCCTGGTGGAAACAGCAGTGAATCTACAATGTCCCTTTTTGTTGTGTTCTTGGAGAAAAATGGGAGCTTCCACATGGTATGTGGGTTCCAGGAGTGCTAGTCTAGCTGCACCCACTTAGGGATTCAGGCTGCTGACCTTTGCATTTGATCCTCCTATTCTGTGTTCCGAGGGATGCCCCATTACAGGTTACCTGGCCCCGGTTGGCAGAAACACACTGACTAGTGCATATCAAGATGTACATGGAGGCAACATGGCTGAGCTAGGGCCCTCTAAGGATATGGGGAAATCAGAAGACTTAGAGGTTGAGAGACCAGAGGTTAGACAGTAAAAGGGATAGAAAGACCAGAAATATGTATAAACACAGAGGGAATAAGAAATGTGTATAAACACAGAGGGAATAGAGTCCTGGGGGTCCTGGCCTTTGGATTATGTGGCTCATTCATAGCGGGTATTTGAATGTTTGTCGACACGGAATGAATCTTGGAACTCTGAGGTACTATGGAACGTTTTGCAACCATGTAGGAACTATGGAACTATGGCCCCAGAGGGGCCACTGCTACTCATGGCCAGGTTTGGGAGTGGAGGTGGGAACCGGCAAAAGAAATACAACTCAGTTGTTCTGCCTGCCGAACACTAACTTGCACATCCTACCAACACTTTAAACTCCTTGTATCTAAAACTGAGCACCTCACCTTTGTTCCCAAACTGGCTTCTTCTCCTGACGTTACTGTTGCTGACAGTTGCTCCGGTTCATCAGCTTGTATCCTTTTCTCCCCCTTCTCTCCCATATCTAAAGTCTCAAGATTTTGAGAATATTTTCTAGGCAAGAGTAAGTTTTATTTTGCTACCTTCCACCTAGCAATACATACTGGACTCACTTTTATAAAATGTTAGTATTTCTATGTCAGTACAACAGTACCCATTCCTGTGCGCTCCTGTATGTTGCAGAAGCTTAGACCTCTGTTCTAGCTTTCTCATTCTTGCACTCAGGCATGCTGCAGTGATTTTCCTCCATCACCAGACTTCTGATTTCTCTCTTCCACTCCTGTCACCCTCATGCAGGACTTTAGCCACCTCTCTCCTTGGGCAGGCACGAATAATCTGGGCTGTTCTCTTTGCCCTTTGATCTACTTTATTAAAGATTTCTCAGTTGTTGTGGAACATTCTCCAGCGATCCTATAGTGTCTATGGTGATCTCTCTTGATTTCAACTCTATTTCCAGATATTGTTCTCTGGTTGCTGTTGTTGGTTGTTTTCTCCCCCACCCCATATGTACCACATTTCTTCCCAGCAAAATGGTAACTCTCCAAAAGCAGAACCAACACTTTTGTTTAACAAATTATATTCCTACTCTACTTCATACTGATTGCTAGAGAATTCTGGAGAGCTGCCCTGCAACATGTACTGAATAAATGCTAAGTAACTTGACTTAATAGGACAGATGGGACCTCTCTGTCTTATTTCTTAAAGCTGCATGTGAATCTGTAATTAGCTCAACATAAAAAGAGTTTAACATTGAAAATAAAAACGCAAGGCTCAAGATTTTGACACAATCATCCGTCACACTTCCTCTCCTCCATTCACAAATTGCTGTAAAGATTCTTTGCTACAATAACGTACGAATGCTTGTTGAATTTGAAGCATCTTTGTTTACATCGTTCCAGCCAGATGGCTTAGGCTTTTAAAATCCTAGACAACTGTTGGGCTGTTTCCTTTCTCTGGGGTCTGAGTGAAGGGGGACGTGGAGGGTAGAGGTTGTACCTTGAAGACAGGATGCAGCCCCGGGAAGCACCTCATGGTGGCCTCAGCGGTGACCTCAGCCAGCAGATGGGTGTTCGGCAGATGACATCGGAGCTGGTGCAGTTGGAAATCTGAATTTTGGACCCAGGACTTTGCCAGGAGCCAGGCAAGTGGAGGATCCGAGGGCAGGAACAGTCATGGGGTCTGGGAGCTGGGGCTGGGAGGCTGGATCTGGGAAAAAGAGAAATTAAGTATTCATGGACCTCTCATCATACGTAAGACACCATGTGCAGCCCATCTGTAACCAGCAGAAGGAAAATACAGGCCCTTTTGGACACTCTCGTTTTATTCACAGGCAGACAAAGTGTTCCAGAGTTCTTCCACCAGCTCTGAGGTTTCCACAGCTTGCCTGTTTCTCTTGGCTTTATGAGTACCGGGAGGCTCCCCCATCTAGTACTGCTTGGTAGCCAGCAGGTGGCGCTCAAAGCTCAAAGTAGGCTAAAGAGCCTTCCTGGATTTGCTAGTTATCTTATGAAGATAGAGAACAAATAACCAAGAAGAGGTCGGTTCCATTCCTACCTGTCCCCCAATCCATCTCCCTCCCTTTCCCCAACCCCCATTGCTAGGTACAGAGGGTCAGTCCGTGTAAATATAACCAGGCCCTTGAGTTGGAATCTTGGAGTACAAATACTTTTGAGCTGATGAAAAAATTGCTACTATGTAAATAGGTTAGGCTGAGGCAAGCCTTGCCCCAGTGTCAGGACTGCTGACCCCAGAGCCCATCCCAAGGCTGCAGGGGGATGAAGAGGGTGCCTTTAGGGTGGCCTCCAGTGTCCAAGGCCAGAATACACCCAGAGAGGGTGCTCTACTAAAGCCCCATTGAGCCCTAAATGCCTGTGCCCTTGTAGCCAGCACTCTCCTGTCCATTCTAAGTGCTGCCAGCCACCCTGGGTGGGCAAGCAGGATAGAGGGTGGACTCAGAGGGGTGGGGGGGGGGGAGAAGGGAAAGAGGAAGGGTGCAGCCAGGAGCAGGACTGTTTGGAGGGCAGGGCCAGCAGCTGGGTTATAAATGAACCCTGCTAGGGCAGCGACCACAGCCCGGGTGAGAAGCTCCCAGTGACACCTGGCATCCCTCCCTTCCTCTCACGTTCTGCCCAGAGTTTGCCAGGCCCTTTGCTCCCTAGAGAGCCTAGACTCAGAGGGGCCTTTCCCTGTGTGTGGGCTGCAACCTACAACCTACAGATGCCTGCCCAGAGAGCTGGGGAGCAGAGTTAAGGGGCCGGCTGGAGATCATCCAGATGCACAGAGAAAAAGACATCTTTTCCTTCCTTACCTCACTCATTTAATATTTACTGAGTACCGGGACTTCCGTGGTGGTCCAGCGGTTAAGACTTTGCACTCCCAATGCAGGGGG